CGAGAAAGGAGACGGCTCGTTAAAATTTTGAAGCAATCCATGAGTCAGGTTTGGCCATCCTCTACTCCGACGGTCGTGAAGACAGAAAGCACATGAGCCACACGGAGCCAGACGAATGCCGTCGAAAAACACGCGGTTGTCATCACTGAGCCAGGCAGCCGCCACGTGACTCATTTTACGTCCGAGTTCGGCCGCGCCCTGCACTTGTTCAACGAGCTACACTCCGTGAGCCCGCAGTGCGACAATCACATCAATGTTCTCGGCTGCGATGGCACGGCCGTCAACACCGAAACGATAGGCGACGTGTTCCGACTGTTTGAGCTGGCCACCGAGTCACCCGCACGCTGGTTCATCTGCCAGCTGCACGGCAACGAGCTGAACCTTCCGCATCTGCTGCGCTGAGCCTGGATGGCATGACCACGGGATCGATTTTTTTTACCCATCGGCAAGACCTGCGTGTGAGAGGCCTGGGAGAGGGACGTTCGGGCATTCAAGCATAGATCGGGGCAAGTGCTAAATCTGCCGGTCGACCTGATTGAGCATCACTGAGCACCAACCAACAGCTGCTGCGCCTTCTGGTTTCCGGCGTTCAAAACGGCTCTGTCTGAAATGTAGCTGCCCAGCGGCGAATAGGACCATCGAACTATGTCAGGTGAGTATGAAAAAGTATTATCTTTAAATTTATAACAAAGAGTGTTTAAAGTTCATCAAGTATCAATTGGTATTTCGTGTGCTCACTGTTCAGTATTTATTTATTATCATACCCAGTGCCGTGTTATGTCGTATCATTTGCTGGTTGGTTCATGCCTACTGGCATATTTGTTGATATTCATTCGGGGACATGAAAGAACTCCGGATGTCGGCATAATTGCATACACTAAATGGACACCGTAATTTTTGCATGATCTATTGCTCAGTTCTTATCGAATTGTTCTTATATATTCGCCTTCGTTTTCAGATGGTGGACACTGGCCGCTCGCCTGCTCCTAGTTCGCATCTCTACCGAGACCTCCAGCAGCGCTCTCAAGGACGTCGTCCAGCGCGTGGTCGGCCACTATGTGCCGGTATGGTCCACCATCCGGCAAAGCAGCGGCCGCGAATTTGGTTTACGCAGCTTGTTCCGGAGCACCGCGCTACTCCGCGACCTGCTGCAGCACACATAGTCATCCAGCGTAGCGGGTACTGGGTCCGTCCGGAACAACTGCTGCTGGAATTTGTGCGGGATGAGAACCGCATGGTCCGCGAACAGGTGGTTCCGATCGTCGCGCCGCTCGTGAGAACCAAACCGAAGGTCTTCTTCAGGCCAGGGTCTTCGCCATCTCAGCGGTAAAACTCGAGGCCGTGAGGTACACCGAACTGATTCCCTGCTACGGACCAATCACACACCCTCTACTGCGAGACCTCAGCGACTGCGAGCTACGGAACACAGTGCAGGCACCGCTGACCATCTTGCCTATCCGGTTCACACTAGGAGTGCGACGCAGCGCCGCACTGCCGAGGACGTCTGGGGCTGGAACTAGAGTTTCGGCAATATGTGGAGCCCAGCTGCAACGGTATTTCTGCTACCGTGTAATCTCTGCCAACACGCGTTTTGGGTTTCCAGTCTGTGAGTAGTTGCTGTTTGGGCCGGCGCATCGAATACACAGGCTCGGCAGAGCAAGATGTGCATGAGGTCACCCTACCGCCCCCCCCCCCTCTATGTTCGTGGTACAGGTTGCAGAACTTGCTGTATGTATCAAGTTGTACACCAGACAATATATTCTGAGTCATATGCCATGCATAGTTTGGTTTGCATCACGTGAGTTGTCTTAGAGAAGTGAAAGTCTAGAGCAACACTAGCCAGCATACGCGTACAACGAGTTCATACTCCACACCACATAAACTTTCCGCCAAATGGCAATCAATCGGGCAATGTCTGATCCGCATGTTAGACCTTAAACCGGGGCATTCTCGCACGACGGCTTAAGGAGCGCTCGGTAGCATCATTTCTGGACGCAAAGGTATTTTGCGTCGCTTGCCGACCACGGTTTGGTGTTACCTGCGGCGGCGGACGCCGCCCAGCATGGGATGACTGCAACGCCGGGCGCTGGTTTACGGCGATATTTCGATCGACTGGCGCCTCACGAATGTAAGTTTTCGGGAAAAGTTTTTGTTATGCTGTGTACTTTTGGACTCCTGCGCCAAAGAATTTCTTTTTATCACTTGGTTTTGTTACTGATGACACACACTGCTGCCTAGTGTTTGCAGCAACGTTAAGACATAAAAAAGATACTAAGTACAATTATTTCAGGTCCAAAAAACGCTGTCAACGCTTAATAACAGCACTACACTTCTTCCCGGCAGTCATGACCGCCGTCGTCATGACAACGGCCGTGTAGCCATCTACTGGTGTTTGTGAATTGCCCAGCGGGCAAAGGGCCTGCTACCGAGAAGTCGGTTTGTTGAAATTTGGGCCGGTGCGTCACATGGACCATGTGATGCTCCCACTTCCAGAGCTAAAGTGCACCTCGAACACTGTGGTTAACACCAAACATGAGAAATACAAGCCAAGGCGTAAAGTTTCGTTAAATTAGCGGGGCAACGGCTTCATGTTCGCTGTTTTGTCTCAGCAGAGTGTTTCAAGCTTCATGTTCGCTGTTTTGTCTCAGCAGTGTTTCAAGCTTCATGTTCGCTGTTTCGTCTGAACAGAGTGTTTCATACTTTTCAAACCTCATGTTCGCTGTTTTGTCTCAGAAGAGTGTTTCAATCTTCATGCTCGCTGTTTGCCAGCAGAGGGTTTCAAGCTTCATGTTTGCTGTTTTGTATCAGAAGAGTGTTTCAGGCTTCATGTTCGCTGTTTTGTCTCATGATAGCATTTCAAGCTTCATGTTCGCTGTTTTGTCTCAGCAGGGGCGTTTCAAGATTCATGTTTGCTGTTTCGTCTCAGCAGACTGCTTCAAGCCTTCGTAGCATTTATTACAAGATTTTATCTCATTCGTGTGTTGCAGACATCACGAAACACACACGTTGGAAAAGAAAAGCAAATGCTATGTTTTACATTCACAGTGGTGAGCCGGCAGTCAACTGAGATATCTCCCGCGGGGGTCAGCTACTACAAATCAACATTATGAAAAGGTGAAAAAGTTTAAAAAAACAACTAAAAAAGCTCTGTGAAAAACAATTTAGAAGAGTTTCGAGAAGACTGGTATTACTGATCAAGTCCTACGCGTCTGATGTAACAATAAGCGAAAGTACAAACAGGTCGGGTTCTCCCTTTGCGCAGCGCAACGTACCACAAACGTAAAGCGTATCACGTTATATTCCGTAAAAATAAGAGACCAATCTGTCATGCGTCAGCCACGTCTCTCCCAAACACAGACCAGTGGGCTTGCGGCCAGACAGACTGTCCATGGATGACGTCATGGGCCTAACGCCCAGCTGGCTAGTTGTGGGTGGGCGGTTTGTGCTATTGGCGGCGCAGTGGGCGCCGACTGCTTTGAAAGCATGCCATGTCATGAATGTGTTGCGGACTGTTACACTGGATAAAATGCGAAGTCTGCGAATACAGCCGCGAAGTTCCATGGTTTCGACGCGTTGTTCATAGAGAGGATTTCCTCTTCATCGTGTGTGCCTACGTTAGAGCTGAATTATGAGCACTACAATTTCTGAATGTGATGTCCTCTTTCGCATATGCTACGCTTCTGACCTGCGTTATCACATAAATTTATAACATCTTTAGCGCCAAGGTCTCCATTACTATAAGTCTCAGCAATGCAATGGGCATGCAAGCGTGTTACACTGTTTCATATTACATGAACGAAGCGTGATGCCCACGCGTTCGTGATGCGTAGCATTCTGGGTTGCCTGAATTTTGATTAAGTACGCCCACTATGGCAGCCCTTGCGGCACTAAGGGTGTTGGGAGGTTGCACGAAGCATTGAAAAATGTGTTACCTTTCCTCATTTTTTCGCTTTTGAATCGAAGTTTATTTTGTATTTTGCCTCACAATAATACATGACACACCTCTCCAATGTGTGCACATGCCAGATGTTTGCGGCTTTGGTGTCATACCAAACGTTGCCTGCCTCTACGCATACCAGGATGAATTGGCTGCTTTGGTTGCTTGGACTAGAGCCCTTTCGACCAGAAATGAAGCCATGGCATTCAGGGCTATTGGATGAAAGAAATTGGTTAACGGTAGAGCAGGCTTACATGCGCCTGGGGGGTGGGGGCAACCGCCGAGGATTAACCCGTGCATGTGCGCTGGATGCCCGGTCGGGGTCCCCCTTCCCACGGGGCTCTCGGCCCACTCGTGGCTGACGCCTGCAGCCTGCCCCGGACAAGCGGGGTATACCGGGGACGCAGGATGGGGCACCGCAGAGAATGAAGAGGGATGGATGACTGGCATGAATTGAGCTTCAGCGAACATAAAACACTAAACAGAACGCCAAAGATGTTTCTTTTATTTTCTCCAATGAGTTCGGCGTCAGCAAAAGGCTTTACGCACTTGTTTCAACGTTTGTATTTCAACCAAAACGCTTTTTCATGTTTATTTGCGTCATCTGCGCCGTACGCAGGCGGCTGTCAGGTTATCGTTATGTTGTATAGTGAGACTGCACTGCGGAGCTCGAACTACGCCATCTAGCAGCGGTTCACTATCGTATCACCGTCGTCGCGCGCCGCCAGACGGTGCGCCAACATTCTTCACTGTCGTCTCGTCGGTCACCTCGATGGTGCGGGTTCGGTTCCACGATTCTCCAGAGGTAGAACTGACGCGTGCACTAGGGTTTTTCTTCAGGCCGTGAATGATGGACGACGCATCTTCGTTATTGAGGGCCTCGTCGGCTGTCACGGAGACGGGAGGTGCAGTGTTTTCTTGTTGCACGGAGACAGGAGATGCAGTGCTTTCTTGCTGCCCGGAGGCAGAGGACGATGTGTCTTTCGGGGGAACAGTGGAGCGGAGCGGCTGACCGGTCTCACCCCCCTCGGACGCCGGCGGGTCGGTGCTAACTCTCGGTACG